TGATTAGTGATATTGCATACATTTTTATATACCTGTTGGTCATTTATATGTTTGCTTTGGAAAAATATCTATTCAGATCCTCTGTGTATTTTTAAATTGGGTTGTTTGTTTCTTTGCTGTTGAGTTGTATGAGTTTTTTTAAGAATACATTTGGATATTAACCCCTTATCAGATATATGATTTGCAAGTTTTCTCACATTATATAAGTTGCCTTTTCATTTTGTTGATTGTGTCCTTTGCTGTGCAGAAGCTTCTTAGTTTGTTGTACTCCCACTTCGTTTTTGCTTTTATTGCCTTTCCTTTTGGTATTAAATCCAAAAAAAAATCATCATCAAGATCAATGTTGAGGAGGTCACTGCCTATGTTTTTTTCTAGGTAGTAGTTTTATGGTTTTAGGACTTTTTATATTTACATCTTTAATCCATTTTGAGTTAATTTTTGTGTATGGTGTAAGAAAGTGGTGCAGTTTCACTCTTTGCATGTGGCTGTGCAGTTTTCCCAACTCTACTGAAATGAAGAAGAGACTGTCCTTTCCCCATTGTCTATTTGTGGCTCCTTTGTCATAAACTAATTGACCATATGGGTGTATTTCTGGTCTCTTCTATCTTATTCTGTTAACTTACGCATCTGTTTTTATGCCAATACCATACTGTTTTGATTACTATAGCTTTGTAATATAGTTTGAAATTAGGAAGTGTGATGCCTCTAGCTTTGTTCTTCTTTCTCAAGATTACTTAGCTATTCAGATCTTTTGTGATTCTGTACAAATTGTAGGATTGCTTGTTCTTTTTTTAATTATTTTTGGGGGGAGAAGGAGTGGATTTCTCTCTTTCTTATTAGTTTGTATATAGTTCATGGATTTTCGCCAATAGCCTTCAAAGTTTTTGCGATGCTCAGATCGTTCCAGTTGGTTAATGGGAGCTGCTCCATATTGGCTCCTGGGTTCTTTGGATATGGCCTGTTGGAAATGAATTACATTGCACATGGTACAGTATACCAGAGTCCAGTAGTAAGTCATAAGTTCTGAGTGTGCAGTAATTTTAGATAAATTGTACAAAAATACAGAATCACACAGTTCAAAAGAAATGTATTTGTAGTGACACATAACAGCCAATAAAATAGAAAGGATTTACTGATAAATTGAGTCCGATGAATGGACACATAGTACACATTCTAGCACTTTATCTCAATGAATTTGGTGACTAAAAAGCAATCCACAAGATACAATAAATGTTTAAAAGTCTACATAGATTATGCAGGCAATGAAATATCTCAGTAAATTTGACGCACATTAAAGAGCAAAATAAAGTACATTTACACGAATTCTTATACAATTAGCAAAAGTATGTGAAAACAAATTATTTTTTGAAATAACTGGTACAAAATATAAAGCAAAAAATAATTTTGAACGAATTCCTGTGCCATTGTCTTCCATACACTTAGCACAAATATTCTAATATATATCAGGATATTTTGTGGAGTACCTGGGTAGCTTCTGTTAAGCAACTGATTCTTGCTACCCAATCAGGTTGTGATCTCACAGTTGTGACACAAAGCCCTGTGTGGGCCTCCACACTGAGTGTGGAACCTGCTTGGGCTTCTCTCTCTCTCTCTCTCTCTGCCCCTCTCCTGCTTGCTCTGTCTCTCAAAATAAATAAATAAATATTAAAAAAAGAGAATGTTTCATTCGATATTCATATGGAGCCAAAAGAGGAAAAATGTAAGAATTCTAATGGAAATTTGTGTTCAATGAAGATAATACTATGTAACAAAAACGGAAACACAGGATTTTGATTATACTCAAAACCTAGAATACAATAATCTTCAAAACCGTATATAGTTTCAATCACAAACTTGATAATCCATCATCTCTGTAGAAATTCTCTCATCACTATCAGCAAACTACTGTTTTGTAAGTACTGTCACTGTGTCCGTTTGAAAAATCTATACCAAAGGGCGCCTGGGTGGCTCAGTCAGTTGAGAGTCCGACTTCAGCTCAGGTCATGATCTCATGATTCCTGAGTTCAAGCCCCACATCGGGTTCTGTGTTGACAGCACAGAGCCTGGAGCCTGCTTCCGATTCTGAGTCTCCCTCGCTGTCTGCCCCTACCCCGATTGCACTCTATCTCTTCCTCTCTCTCTTAAAAGTAAATAAACATTAAAAAAAATTTAGAAATATCTATACCAATTAACTTGAACCTAATTTTATAGTAATATCTCATTACTTTGGAGAGCTGGATTATAGGGATAATAAATAATAAATCTAAATATAGGGGAATAAACCCAAATCTAGTTCTGATGAGTTGTTTGGTTTATGGCTTGCTATTTTTTGTGAAAACAGCAATACAAACTTACAGTAAAGAATGTGAGGGGCGCCTGGGTGGCGCAGTCGGTTAAGCGTCCGACTTCAGCCAGGTCACGATCTCGCAGTCCGTGAGTTCGAGCCCCGCGTCGGGCTCTGGGCTGATGGCTCAGAGCCTGGAGCCTGTTTCTGATTCTGTGTCTCCCTCTCTCTCTGCCCCTCCCCCGTTCATGCTCTGTCTCTCTCTGTCCCAAAAAAATAAGCGTTAAAAAAAAAAAAAAAAAAAGAATGTGAATTTCTTTCTTTGCTTTGATGTTTCTCATTGCTGTCTTCCCCTTTTAGAGGTAACATGATCACTACTGTGACTTTGGACTTAGTGGGTAGGTAGTCTTTGATGACCATCTCAGACCTATCAGCTATGTACGTCCTTTTAACCACAATATAAGCTTTTCACAGGCAGGCAAATTTGAAGTTTTTGTAGTTGTTGAAAATACTGTCTGTATGCTAGAAGACAGAATTGTTTTCTTCAGAGTGTCTAGATGTAGATGTTGTCAGGGGTAGTCATATATTCCCTAGTGTCATACAAATTAGCCCTGTAACGTAGTGAGTTAAAAAGTCAGTGTTCCTCAAAACAGTATACAAAACACTCTCTTTAAACTTATAAGAAGATTTAAAAAATATTATTATACAATCAGGTCACAGATCAGACCTTTAGCTTTAAACAATTTCTGATACTTCAGTGAAGTCCTTCCCATTTGGTTTAAGATGGTATGTTAGTAAGGGTTCTTCAGAGAAACAGAACCAATAGGATACAGGTATAAAGAGGTTTATTATGGAGAATCGGCTCACGGGATTATGGAGGCTATGAAGTCCCATGATCTGCTGGAACCCCAGGAAACTGGCAGCGTAGTTCTAGTCTGGGTCTGAAGGTTTAAGACCCAGAAGTGCTATAGGTGTAAGTTTCAGTGAGGGTAGGAGAAGATGGACATCCCAGCTCAGTCAGACTAAGACACCAAATTCTCCTTTCCTTGTCTTTCTTGTTTTATTCAGGCCCTCAGTTGATTGTGTGATTCCCCACCCATCCTGGAGATGGCAATCTGCTTTACTCAGTCTACCATTTCAAATGCTGATCTCATTTAGAAACACCCTCATAGACATACCCCAAAATATGTTTAACCAAATATTTGGGTACTCTGTGACCCAGCCAGTTTGACACATAAAATTAATCACCACAACTAGTTTGATTAAGGTAATGATAGTAAGATTTATATGTACTCCCTCTGTAATTTTTTATGTCTAGACCATCCTGAGGATTTTTAAGCTCTGGGATATTTGCTAACAAATCCTGAAACTGGAACATGACCTACGTGCTCAGGACTTACTCATTCTCTGTGTTATCTCTGCAAACATGGTATTCTAGGGAAATCCAGTGACTCATCAACTTCGATGCAAATGTATTGTTCTCAAATTTCCACTCTATAAAGTGGGAGTAATTTGTGTGAATATACGTTCATATACATTCTTTTTTTTTAATGTTTATTTTTTTTATTTTGAGAGAGAGAGTGCCCAAGTGGAGGGACAGAGAGAGGGAGAGAGAATCTCAAGCAGGCTTGATGGTCAGTGCAGAGCCCGATGTGGGGCTCGATCTCAAGACTGCAAGATCATGTCCTGAGCAGATACAAAGAGTCAGTGCTTACCTGACTGAGCCACCCAGGAGTCCCATTTGCATTCTTTTGGAAATGAAAGGATATCATGCAAAAATTGATGACTTCTGAGTAGAAAAACTTGCAAACAAATTTGAATTGTGTAAATAAAGCCAAAAGTGAATTTTCATTCTGAGTAGTACATTCCCAAAATAAGGTTGACATTGTTTGCTGTAGCATAGTGGACTTTGACGTAGCAACATATAAGTCATCCTTTGCGTTGAATTGATGGTGAATATTAGTGTTTTTTTTTTATAAGTGAAAATTTCTGAAAGTCCTGACTCATAGATGTATATAAAAGCAAAGAGAATTAAAGCTCCTAAACTTTGCTTTACTTGGTTAGAGTAAGCTGCTGTTGGAACATAAGAATAAGGCAGCTCAGGTTGAATTTGGTCACTTCATTTACTTAGTTCTCAAGGCAATGGCATTGTCTTTGATAACATTTGCACTGCTAATGCCCTGTCAGCAAGCAATGAATTACTGATAAGGGATTACCATATCAGTATTAAAGTCCAAGAAACTGAAGAAATCCTCAGAGAAGTTCTTGGGGGGGGGGGTTCCAACTCTGCCTGCTGAGAACTTGGCAATGATTTGTCAGTCTCAGCTTCATCCTGTGAAGCACTTTCCTTGGCATCTTGGTCAAAAATTACTCATGATTTTTCAGCAAGCATGGCCCTGGGTGAGAAGATTTACCTCATGCACATGGCCAAAATACTTGCCAAGGAAGCCAGGCAATGAATGAGTATCTCTCTTTCAAATTGTTCTGAGTGGGGTTTTATTTTTCTCTTTTACACTGGAGTTTAATCTTGTCCATTGACTTGTCCCCTGGAATGCCAATGAATGTACACTTAAAAAAATATATAATCTTATTCTACTTTTTGGCAAAATTTCTTTTTTTTTTTTTGAGTATCAGTCATCTTTTATTGGACATTAATTCTGAATTAGGCTATGAAAGGATTCAAAGGTCATGGTCAGGAATGCCAAATTTGCCTCCACACTGGGCCCTCATCAGTGGTACTTGCATAGCCGCTCATGTTTGAGTTCCTTGTAACACCGACAATAGTTGAAAAGCACATAAGCTGCCAGTACCATAGAAATCCCAGCAACGTTCCCTTTCTTCACATTGACATACTTGTTGTAATATGGGTAGTAACCTCTTTGAAATGCGCCAGCAATGCCTCTAGGGGTGAAATCTCGCATCAGTATCCAGCCTGGCAGCTCTCCTAGCTTCATATCCATGAGCTTCTTCTCTTTCACTGGTACGGGCGACGCCATCTTGGAGTCCTGGGTGTCCCTTGACCAAATTTCTTAAAAAAGTCATGCTTCAGGGATCTGGCTCTAATGAAGTTGACAGCTTTTACAGTGGCAGAAAGGACCTCTTTCAATGTTATTGGCCAAGTCTGTGATACCAGAGCAAGCTAATCTGTATAGCAATGCATTCCAGTGTCATGGATTGCTCTTCTCTTTACCAAAGCAACAAAACTAGATACATTTCCAAGCATCACAGGTGCTCCATTTTGCACAAAATTCCCGAATTTTCTTTCAGTTTAAGTGTTCCTTGGCAAAAAAAAAAAATATGTTGTCAAAAATTATGTTGACAGTCCTTGGAGTTTCTAAAAGGGGCCCTCAAAATAAGAATTCTTACAGGAGTTCTTTTGTCCTTACAGAGGTAAAGTAGTTTTATCCGGTTGAGTGATGAAAGAAAAAGGTTTTTCCATCATGATTTGACTCAAAACATTAGAAGAAATGTCAGTGATTTCGTATTAGATAATAGGACTTTACAGCAACACACTTTTGATTTTAATTTTTTGGTCCACAAATCAACCCAACAATGTGTGTGTGTGTGTGTGTGTGTGTGTGTGTGTGTGTGTGTGAGAGAGAGAGAGAGAGAGAGAGAGAGAGAGAGATCAGTAGCCTTGTAGGTTGCTTCAAGACAAGCTTTGGTGTTGGGGCAAATTGATATTTCAGTAGAACACTATTCTTTTCAAATTGAACCTTCTTTTCATGGCAAAAGTTTATTCTGTCCTATGTACTTTCAGGATAGAGGTCATGGAGAATCACTTCCATTTCTCTGGCTAAGAACCAGTACAACCCCCAAATGTAGGTGGCTCAGCAATATACATTCCTTATTCACCTTAACAGGTCTGCAGGTCAGCTTGAGGCCAGCTCTTTTGCAAACTTCAGGGTGAGTTTGGCTTTCGCCCCACCTGTTGCTCATTCTGGGACCAGCAGCTTCCAGAGACTGAAATCTTTTATAGCCAGATGTCAGGGGCACTAGAACCAGGACTCAAATACATGGATAACCCTCTAAAGCCCCTGCTTGAGGCATGCTGGCTAACATTCCATGACTTCACCTCGCCAGCAATTTTCCTCCTCTTCTGTTGTCTTGGTGTACTAGATGATGGCTGCTATGTTAAGTTTTATCCAAATGTGGAGTTTGTCGCTACATTCGTTTTTTTCAAGATGTTTGGGACTCTTCAGTTCCTTTACATAATAGCCATATGTATATCCATCATATATAATATATTATGTAATAACCTTCATATATATGCTGCTTTATATCACGTATTATATATATATTGTGAATCACCTGAAATAGAGATATAATATGGTTTTACTCTTTGAATTTTGTCAGTAATTTTTCTGACCAAGTACATAATAGTTATGTATGTTCTCTGGATGTTTGCAAAGGAGGTATAATTCTGTTTCTAGGATATATATTTGAATCTGATCATTTTGAATTTGACATTATCACTTATATTATCAAACTTCCTTGTGACCTTAAATATGGTCTTATCTTGTTAATATAATCCATAAAGGAGAGTGATAGGTTCAAATATCTGATTAAAATTCATTTCTTTTTATTTATCAATTTTATTTTGTAATCTAATGTCTTGCTTTCTGCATGGCTTCTTTTTCACCTGATAATAATACATATATTTCAACCAGTAAGTATCATTTGGTTTGTGCCTATTTCTTATAAACACATGTATTTGGATCTTATTCTTACTTTTCTCTCAAAGCCTATGCCACTTACCTAGGAGTTGAAGCTCTTTGTTATTATATTTATATTTATTATCAAAATTTACAGCTTAAAGTTTTTTCTCTTTGTACTTGATATGTTTTCTCTTCTATATTGCCATTGATTGCCAACTTTCCATCTTTTTATGTAGGTATAAGAGTTTGCTTCTTTATTTTTGAGTGATATGGAAGATGTCTACTCATAGTTGTGTCTATGGTTATCATGAAGTTTCCAAAAATATAATTAAGCTTCCATTTTTCTAAAAATAAAATAAACATCCCTATAGGACAGGATATTTATTCACCCCATGCACCTCTCTTTCAGCTTTCTTTTTCTCTCTGTTTTCTGGTCATTAAGATAATCAGTAAATATAAATCTAGATTATTGTTAGTAATCTAATATTTTATTTGATGCATATTATCTTTAAAAGTATATTATTTCACATTTTCATTCATTATGTAACTATTTTAACTATAATAACACAACTATTTTAAACTAACTTTATGACTAAGACTTTATTGTTCACAACTAGCTCCTTGGAACCTGAATTCCCTATTTTTGAGTTTTCATTTAATTCATCCCTTGATTGGCTGAAAGGACATTTTTGAGTAATTTATTTAAGAATGGTACATATCCAGTCCATTTATGAAAGTAAAAGAAGTTTTTCTCTATTGGCTTCACATGATTGATTTCTTACCGGAATATATCTTTTTGGCAGGTCTGCAAATGCAACTTGGTTGACTTCTGAAATGTTGTTTAGGAGACATAGTGTTACCTAGTCTAGAGTGAGATTAATTTTGTTGTCTTTTCCATCTGGCTGTCTGGGGAATGTGTGTGTGTATGAGAGACAGAGGAGGGGGAGGGTAGAGAGAGAGAGAGAACAGTGAGGGGTGAGGTGGGGGGTGGGAGAGAAATAGGGAGAGAGAGGGAGGGAGAGAGAGAGATTTATCCTTGTAAATTTTTATATAAACGATTTTGCTAGAATTTATCTAGGGATAGGTCACTTTTTATCATCAGTTTTGTCTGATAAATGGAGAGCATTCCTAATCTGACCTCTTCTTAGAAAAGTTCTTTTGTTTTTTATAAACCTATAAGGACTTTAATTATTCTATTTCATTAATTTCTGGGGCCTTCCTTAGGACTCAGTAGTACCTCACAGGTGGGGTCTTTGCTCTCCTTTTCCCTTTTCTCTCATCTTCTCTCTCAGATAATTTTTTCTCTTTACCTTTGTCTTCTCTGTCCTGGAAGAACTTTATTAGCTATACATTGACAGTACCTTTGACTTTTGCCATATATAATTTCCTGTCAGTTTGTGTCATGAAGATTTTAATTCTCAAGTGTACTCTTATCTCCTTGTGGAATTTATGTCTCCCATCTTCTTTTTCATGTCTGTTTCTATCTTTGCATCTGAGCCAATGGTGTCTTCTTCTCATCTTGATTTTTCCATATAAGAAATTTCTACTTTGGGGGAGGCATGCTTTCCTTTTCCTTGGTTAAATATGAAGCAGATAGTTTCTCAAAACTAATTTCTGGGTTTTATAACAAATCATTTTCAAAAGTAGTCTTTTTTACTCTGAACCTTCTTACCTTAGTTTCAACCCATGGCAGATTGTTCTGTACACTCACTCAATCGCCCATGAATGAGGAAAGGTTTACACAGACTCAGTGTTTGTTAACACAGTTTGTAGCTATTTCAAATGGCCCACTGTCTGAATAATGGGTATAGATTCCATGCCTTTTTCCCCCCATCAAAGAGTCAGCCTTTGCAGATCTTCAGGACTGAGATATATAACCTCTCTAATTCCCACTGTACAGTTCTCTGAATCTGTGAATGGATGGAATACGTTAAATACCTCAGTCTGCAGCATGCATTGCCGTAAGTCCTCTTCTAATCTATTCCCCAGGCCACTTGGTGTTCCATGTGGGGATTACAAATTAGCAGAATGGTATCACCCATCATATTCCTCCACTTCTGGTCAATGATGTCAGGAATGCAGTTTCTGAATGTATATAAAAAGAGAGACTCTGAAAGCGCATGGAAAAGAAAAGGAATATGTCACTGAATGCCCCACTAGTGTAGTTTTCTACAGTAAGGTAATGGCTCTTCATTTTTCTGTTTGGAACAGACCCAGCATTGAGTGTTGTGATTAGATGGTGGAAGGAGGGCGATGGTGGGGTTTACGTGAGAGATGCGAGCTTGTTAAAGCTTCCTTCAACCCAATTTTAGGATAGCTAGTCTCTACATTTTCAGTCTGTGAAGCATGCATAAGCCATTTATTGTGTTTCTCATCCTTGATACACCAGTCTTGTAGTTAGAAATTTATCCCAGCTTCTGGGTTAGTGTCTCTTTCCTTACACTTCACTGGGGCAGTGAATATTTTTTTACTATATGGTTTTAGGTATTTTACTGGACATTTGAATAGGGGCTATTAGTGAAATGCCATTATTATTCATGTGTCTTCAAAAGCTTAAAACATTTTCACTATTTCTAGTTCTATAAAGTTCATTTATTTATTTTGAGAGAGAGAGAGAGCATGCTTGCGCACAAGCTGGGGAGGGGCAGAGAGACAGGGAGAGAGAGAATCCTAAGCAGGCTTTTCACCCAAGGCAGAACCCCAACACAGGGCTCAATCTCACGATCTCATGACTGAGCTGAAATTGAGAGTTGGACGCTTAATTGACTGAGCCACCCAAGTGCCCCTCTATTTCTGACCTGAATTTTTTTCCTGAAAGAAACCTCTAGGTTTAGTTCATCTGAATGGCATAGATTTATATAATTTTCTTCTAAAAAAATGCCACCCTTGACTTATAGTGTAATTGAATTTAAATCTACGAGCCCTGGGCTTACAAAAAAAAACCTTCCATATCCATCCAACAGTTAATTGTTCCTTGCCCTTTCTCAAGGGCCATGGGACTGACTCCACAATGTTTTTTTTTTTGTTTTTGTTTTTGTTTTTGTTTTTTTCCAAATTTGACCTTAGAGTTAGTTAGCTCCCCTCAGATGCTTGGCACTAGCTACTTCAATGATGCCTGACATCCCTGCATTTTCTTGCTCATTACCTAAAATGTAATCTCCTCTGTTAGAGCTTTTCTTCTCTTTGTTCCTCTTCATATTAGTTTATGCTTTTTCTTCCCAAGTGGCTATTCTCCTAATTCCCACACAATTGTACATTCTGGAAGCACTATTTCTTAATAGCAAATTCTCATCTATATGCAACCTCTTCTCTGAGTGCTAGAAAGAGGAAAGTTCTTTTATTTTCTTGCTT